GTTTTGCTCATTTTTGGTGTACATGAATCGGGATACTACTGTATGTACAAGCAATATGTACAAGCAAACCTGTTTAATGGCCCGGGAGCTAAAGGTTATATTGAATAATAATTAAAAATGTTATATTAAGATCAATCAAATCCCTTAATCCTTTCTAATCCATATTGATAATAAGTTATTCAATTATTATTATTAATAACTATAAAATAACTACTTTATAATTTATAATTAGATGTAATAAAATTTGATTTTCAACTTTATCTGTAACGTAAGTCTATCAAAGTTTTAACACATAAGTGTAAAAACCCATATAATATAAATTGTACACATATTGTAGAACACATTCTAGGATTAGATTCTTTCAAAAGTCTATTCAAACCACAAAACAATATTTTGTATACAAATATATTTCATAATTAATAAAATATGAATATAAGGGATAAGAATAAATCCGTTTCAAAACAATCAAAAGTTAGTTCTCGTCATTTAATTATCTATTGGTTTTAGATTTAAGTGAACACTAAATTCAATCATATATTTGATATACAATCCATCGGTTTCTTGAAACTAAACCTTAAGCTCTAATCTATCGATTGGACAGATATTACAATCATTTCATTCATAATTTATTCCAACAAAAAAACAGATTATAAACATTTCTTAAAGACTTGCATTTTATTTCAATGAATAATAAAAATTAAATAAATGACAACAAAATTAATTTAAAACAGAGGCCATCACTACCAGAGCCACACCAGTCGGCCATTCAGTCCATCGGTTTGTAGTCCCGAACCACTCGTGTTATAGCCATCTGTGACCACAAGTCCTATGAATAAAAGTAAAACAAGTATTAGTAAACCCCCGGAAGGAGACACCTGTGCCCACCGCCCACCCGCTTGGTGTCCACCTTACGGCCCGCCCACCCTTCGCTTTTTTATGTGGTGGTCGAACTCCACCCCCTCTCAGGTTGTTTAAAGTCGTTTGAGGCGCTCGACTACCCGTGCAATCAGTCCTAAGAGGGAAAAAGCAACTGTTAAAAACCCCGGGAGGGGACACCTGTACCCACCGCTTACCCGCCCGGTGTCCGCCTCCCGTCCCGCCCACCCCTCGCTTTTTTGATGTGGTGGTCGAACTCCACCCCCTCTCAGGTTGTTTAAAGTCGTTAGAGTCGCTCGACTGTCGGCCACAGATCTGGTGTCCGGCCATCCCTTGCAAGTGGTCGGAAGCTCTCGACTACCGGTGAGACTCAGTGTCGGCGTTGCGATGTGAGGACAGTTGGCCCGACATGTCTGCGCCCTAACCAGTCTTGGCTTTGACTCCAGTACTAGCTTTGGGTGACAGTTGTTAGTCGGGTATCAACTCATAGCCCAAACCCCATCGGCATTACTATCGGTGTTGGCAGTGATCCCAACGCGTGTATGGCTTGAGACCAGTCGTGAATCGCGGGTCCAGACTGTGTGTCGAGCGGTCGGTCGAGTCATCCCTAACCAGTGTCTGAAGAGATGAGCCGAACCCCAAACCTGTGACCGTCTGTCCTGTGCTCTGCTTTTGTGTCAACTGTTTTGCCGATCGTTTACTTTTAAAATAAAAATAATTCAAAATTTTTAAAAACAATTAAAATAAAATGTTATGGAATTTACAATAATATAAATTAAAATGTGAATAATTTATGACAAATATTGTTTACATATACTTTTTTAATGGTAAAACCTATTGAAAACTTTTGTCATTAATGTATTTTTAAAATCTTTTATCACTAAAAACACCTTTAAGTGTTGTTTTACCACGTTTTATAGATATCCAGGCGCTTTCAAGTTTGGAAGTTTAAATTGTACTTTAAATTATAATTATAAACCATGAGAACGTGGTAATAATAAAGCTTAGACCTTTAAATTTAAACATAAAAACGTTTAAATAAGTTATCATTTCATTTCAGTTTCAAATATGTGCACAAAATCCGTGTATTTATTCATTTTACAGACAATTGTTTGTCTTTACATCGATGTCGGACTCGAAGACAATGGGAAAGTAAATGCAATACCCGTTCAGACAAATAACACTTTAAATAATCAATTGGATAAAAATGAGACAAATGTTAGACAAAATGAAACAAACGTCAGACAAAATGAGACAACTGTTAGACCATCGGAGACGAGCACTCGGTCTGAACCCGACCTGAGGTTTGCATTCCTCGACGTTAGATATAGAGCTAATAAAGCGAACGAAACGGCAAACAGTGAAGCGGCGACTGATATGACTGTTATGAAACAATTCCTCATTTCTTACGGATTCTTCTTCTTCTTTGTCATCGGATCTCTTGTCTCTGTTATTCTCGTTATAACCATAGGAACTGAATATTTCAAAAGTTTGCGATACATTTACGTGTAATTTGTATTTTAATCATTTCTTTAATATTATTTGTTTAGAAAAAGAAAGACTTAAAAAAGCCATTGAAAATGATGTGAAAAATAAGGACCGAAAAAGTGATCCCAAAATTGAATCAATGAATACACAAATGGATCTCAAAGTCGAACCAATCGACTCACAAACTGATCCTAAAGATATTGATAATGAAAATCTGGCCGTAAAAAAGTGATTATAACTAATTTTATTATACAAATTAAATCCATTAACTTTTTGTAATAAAATATTATTTGCATTTAATATACAATTAGTATAAATGAACAGAAGTGCAAAATTAGTGCATAAAATAATTTAAAAAGTTGTTAAACTACTAAAATATCTCTCATTTATATAATTTTAATAACTGATTGATTGAATATTATATTGCATACTTGTATACAGTGTTCAGTGATTTTTATGTTAACTTAATTGCCATAAAAAAGCAAAACCCAAATGCACTAAAACTTTGAAAGTATGCGATCATAGCATATTAATAAATGCAATGCTAATAATATATGGAATATTCTGGAATATGTTTGAAGTTTGAGTGCATTGAATGCCGTATAGAGTAGTGAATGAGTGAGTGGTGTGTGAGTTATAGCGCCGCTCAACGCCTGTACTCATCGACAATACATGGAGTGAATGGCAATGAGATGTGCAGTGCTTTCAATGCATTCAAAGTGACGCACAGTTTGTGTGGAAAGTGAGTGAATATTCGAGAATACGATTCAACACTGATTTGAGGCAAAAACTGAAAAACTGATGAGTGTTTTGATTACACCAAACATTGAATACTCAAAACACGACAACAACTCTATTGGAAAACTGATAGCAAAACACGAACTAATGGTCCGCTCTTTTCGTGTCAACACAAGTCTTACGCAAACTTTTTTCTCGTTGTGTCAATACTTTTGTCGTCCGTTTTTGCGGTCAACGCGTTATCGCCATCAGCGGTGAAGAAGTGCTGAAGAAGTGGTTCGGGAAGTGATGGCCCGCGTGTTCTGTTGGGGCAATACATGCAATGGAGAGCTGGGTTTGGGTGGCATCGAAGACGAGCACATCCTTCTGCCGCGCAAACAGAAAGTGGCGATCGATGGCCGCAAGTATGCCATCCGTCAGCTGTCGTCCGGTCGTAACCATACGCTCGTACTGTTGGTTAACCCGTTGGACGACACGTCGCTTGTGTTGAGCTGCGGCTCCAATGAGAGACACCAATTGGGACGAGAGGGCAGTTGGCGTCGCTTCGACACCGTTGACGGCGTCGACAAACACGTGGTCGTGAGGCTGTGCTGCGGCGCCAACCACTCACTGGCCCTCACGTCCGCCGGACAGATGTTCGGCTGGGGTTGTAATCTATTCGGACAGTTGGGTGAGTGTCTCGTCTCGTGTCCACCAGTTGTCACTCATTTTGTGTACTTTTTCTCTGATTGGCGAAGGAATCGGCAATAAAGTGGACGAATCGGTGCCAAAGCCGTCGTTAGTGAAGAGATTGGCCGCAAAAATGGTGGTTCAGATCGCTTGCGGCGGAAATCATAGTTTGGCGCTCACTATCAGTAAGCGATTGATTTGTTTTGCAAAAGTTGTCTGACATTTGTGAATACCATTACAGACGGCAGTATCTATTCCTGGGGTTCCAATGCTTTCGGACAGGTATTGCCATCCCTTTCATAGGCTTTGATATTGTCTTTTAATTGAATGATTTGTTTGAATAGTTGGGAAACGGTATGAAAGGCAACTGTGAGAACAGGTAATGGCTTTAATGAACACCGAATTAAAACGATAACAAAGTAATTGCAATGATTTGATGTTCAGCCCAATAGAGATACTGTCTCTGCGATCGGTTCCGATCCGTCAAATGTCTTGCGGTGGCTCTCATTCGGCGCTACTTTCATATACGGGTGCGATATATATGTGGGGGAAGAATGAATTCGGTCAGTTAGGCCTCAACGATATGCAAAACAGATTAGTTCCCACCGTTCAGACCACTCTTCGGTCACAACGAATCTCTTTCATCGACTGCGGCGAAGAGCATACGGTTGCGCTGACCGCCGATGGCGGCCTATTCTCGTGGGGCGCCGGTATGTACGGCCAATTGGGTCACGCGAAGAACAACAACGAAATACTTCCCCGAAGAGTGTTTGAATTGATGGGAAATGTGGTCACACAAGTGTCTTGCGGCCGATGCCATACGTTGGCCACCATTGGCTCCAACGGCCGATTGTATTCGTTCGGACTGAACGGTTCCGGACAGCTCGGGATCGGGACTCAAACGAGCAAAAGTGTGCCAAACCATGTGTCGGGAAAGTGGGCGGAGTTGGGCGTGAAGGACGTCTGTGTCCGCAATGCCGCCGGTTCTCTATTGCCGGTCGTCAGTTATAATCAGTCATCAAATTCTTCGCCAAAGGCGTCGCGAAGGCGGCGGTCAAAGGCTAAGAGCTCTCAGAAGCCTAAGAGTCCGCCGAGACGTGGAGACGACGACGACAGCTGTGAGATGTCGATCGACGAGTTGTCTGATTGCGATGATAGCGACAAAGACATCGCAGACATGATGTCTTCGGATGAGGCCATTATTGAAGAGCCCGATGAATACTCTAAAGAGACTATTTTAAAACCAGGATTTATCTGTACTTCCGATCTAATAGTGTCCACAAAACCCGATTCCATAGAAATCAATGAATACCAATCGGATCCCGACTCTGACAGTCAACTCAATACAGAACGACAACAACTAGTCGTCAAAGAGATTGTTGCCTCAAAAGGGGATCAAAGTTTTGTATTAGTTGTGAGACTAAACGATAACAACTATCCGATTGACTTCAGATATAACCATAGTTTCGATGAGATTTACAAATTGGATACAAAAAGATTACAAAAACTGAATGAAACTCTTGAAGACAACAACATATCTTCTGATGACATCGACTATATCGAGAGCGCCTTCACCTCAATCTCCTGCTGGAACTCGAGTTTCATCGACGACAAGATCACCGGTGACTCTGTCTTACCGTCGATCGATTGGAGTTCCGCGCGAACGGCCTTCGAGTTCATTGAAAAGGCCAAAAACAGTCGAATCAAAGAACTTATTTATCAATCAATACTTAAATTAATACCGGGTTTGCCGGACATCGACGACGACAACTCGTTGGATCCGGAAGTGCTCCGAATCTATATGTTGTTAACACTGTTTCATCCGTTCAGAACTGATTACAAAAATGCCGAAGCGATGCGAAAACTGATTTGTGGATACATGAGAGCCGTTCTCCGTTTGCACGACTCCGCCAAAGATGTGATTAAGCAATGGTTCGGCCGATTGGAGACCAAACACTTCCGTCAACTCATTCATAACGTTAAGAATTACATGAAAGAAGTGTTTGAGAGTCAAAACAATCAAAACAAAGAGTTTGAGAGCAGGTCTTCGGGTGCGGACGGAGCGCATCAGCAGAGAGTAATCGACTCCGAACTTCACGACACGTTAGGCCTGAGTC